GTGGGGCCCCTGGACGTCCCGACCCTTCCCCCCCTGGTCCGGCTTCTCACCCCGAAGCGCTCGCCGACTGCCCCAGGGACCCCGGCGGGGGCCTCCGAGGGCACGGCAGCGGCCCCAAAAGCCTCCTGTCGCGATGTTTTTAGGAGGGAGGAGGTGTGATGGGGGGAGGAGGAGGAGGAGGAGGAGGAGGAGGAGGAGGAGGAGGAGGAGGAGGAGGAGGAGGAGGAGGAGGAGGAGGAGAGACAGAGAAATCGAAAGCTGCCCCCGGTACGCCACGCGAAACCCGCAGCGTCTCGGCATGGAACTCGGCACGCAGACTGACCACGTGGGTCTGGCGCGGCGCGCGGCCCAACACGCGACGAGCCAAGACGCAGTGTTTTCACACGGACGTCTTGAACACGGCACGCGCTGCGCTTCAAAACGGGCGTGTCAGGGTGGCTCAGCTGGGGAGGGATGGGTGACAGGAAGCAGCAGCAGGAGCAGCGCCTCGAACGGCAGGTCGACCCGCCGCAGAGCTCGCCCCGTCCCCTGCCGCGCGGGCATCCAGCAGCTCGCGGCCGCGTGTGTCCTCTAGACGTCGGCTAGACGTAAGGTGCGCCTTTGCAGGAGTGACCTTTGGTACGCGGCTTTGGGGGCAGCGGAGGGCCAACTCCGAGCGCGCAAGCCGCTTCAAGCCAGTGGTGGGGTGATCCTTGTGGGCCCGCACCAAAGTTCGGCGGCAACTCATGGGAGCATCCAGTACTATCTTGTTCGCTCCTGCAAATCGACAAAGATCGACGCTAGTCGACGCTCATCGTCCCTAAATTGGCGCTAAATCTACGCTAGTCGACGCTAAATCAACGCTATCTCATCGACAACCAAACGCTTCTCGACGCCAGTGCACCCTAAAGACGGAGTTTCGAGGGTATACAAACAAGGCTCCCACGTTGTGCTGCTCAACACAGGTCACTCCGGCCTCCTCCTCCTCCTCCTCCTCCTCCTCCTCTTCCTCCTCCTCCTCCTCTTCCTCCTCCTCCTCCTCCACCTCCTCCTCCTCCTGCTCCCACTTTTCCTCCTCCTCCCCCCCCTCCTCCTCTCCTCCTCCTCCTGCTCCTCCTCCTCCCACCTGTATCTTCTCCTCCTCCTGCTCCTCCACCTCCTCCAACTCTGCTCCTCCTCCTCCTCCTCCTCCTCCTCCTCTCCTCCTCCTCTCCTCCTCCCCTCCTCCTCCTCCTCCTCCCCCTCTCCTCCCTCCTCCTCCTCCTCGTCCTCGTCCTCGTCCTCCTCCTCCTCCTCGTGCTCCTCCTCGTCCTCGTCCTCATGCTCCTCCTCCTCCCTCCTCCTCCTCCTCCGCCTCCTCCTCCTCTCCTCCTCCTCTCCTCCTCCTCCTCTCCTCCTCCTCCTCCTCCTCCTCCTCCCCCATTGAAGTCACCCCCCCTTACCACCCGCCCGAAGCCGTCTGTGGCCCGAGAGGCTGCCCCTCAGCCCTCGCTCGGCCCACGCGCCGGCAGTCCACTTCAGCTGGCCGCGAGCTGAGATACAGCGATTGGGAACTCGGGCGGGCCCAGGGCGGGGGGCGAGCCACAAACTGGGGAACAGCTGTAGGGGGACGAACAATGACATGACCATAAAAACCGGGAGGTCTGCGCGGATTTCTCGGATCGGCGCTGGACCCCCCTCCCTGGCCCCTGGCGCGCGGAGCGTGCCAGGGGCGGCGCCGGAGGCGCCGCCAAGGGGGTCCAGCGCCGATCCGAGAAATCCGTACTGAGCTCTGAGTTTGTATGTTTATGTCATTGTTCGTCGCCCCAAGTGGCTCTGAAGTCTGGGGTGGCCCTGCGAAACTGGCACCCCGAATGCATAGGCAGACCTAGCGGTGCGCCTCTCGACGCCCCCCGTCAACTGACCCATATTGTCGCAGAGGCATCCCAGACGGGATCAGATTATATGGGATCGGAAGATCACGCCGCATCGTCGATGCATCATCCATGCATCGGCGATGCGTCGGCGCTGCGGCGCGATGCTCCGACCCCATCAGCTGTGCCCACTCGGGATGCCCAGACTGTCGTCCGTCGTCGCCCCTGGAGGAACCAAACTGTCCTGGCACCGCTACTCCCCCCGACCTCTCCCGGGGTGCGCTCTGACCAAAAACATGTTTGGGAGGATACAGCCGTGGCGACGACAGCACCCCAGGCTGAGCAGCTGCGTCGGTACCTGCTCGGCGGCGCGCAGAGGGGGGCAGGGGGAGGGGGGGGAAGGCTTCTTGGAAGGAGGCTCCTTCTTAGAAGGCGCGAGCCTTACATCTACAGACAAGGCCCGCGCCTTTACGAAGCACGGGTGCTTCTGAGAATCCTTCCCCCCTTCCCCTGCCCCCCTCTTCGCGTGGCCGACCTGCTCCTCAGTTGGGCCCCTCTGCATTCTGTGCTCCTCTGGCCTTCAGATCTCTGGAAATTCTGGGCACGCACCACGAGGACGCCCTCGGGCAACGACCACCTCCCCGAGAAGGGCAAAGGGGCCCCCTCTG